TGAATATAGGCTCTATTTTATTAATATTTTAAATAATTTATTAAATTTTTAGTTGTGCAGTTAATCTATTCTATTTAATATTTTATTTATTATAAGATTATACATTATTTATAATTTAATTTATACTTAATTATAGGCAGAGAATCATCAAACATAGTTTAAGAATATATGCTATACTGTTCTTTCTAATTCTTCAAAAAAAAAATATTGTGGTAACTAATATTGTTTTATATTTTATAGTTTTAAATTATTTATAATTTTTATTAATAATTTATATTTTTATATATTTTATAGCATATGCACATCAAAATCAAAATACTATTTGCTGTGGTTATATTATTAAAAAAACTTGTAAAGTTGAATTTTATAAAATTGTTCCATTGGATCTTAAAGAATGCCTATTTGTGATTCTTATATGTAAAGAAATACATACACATCTACTACTACTATCTGTTCGAACACTTATTTATATTAAGCAAAGACTTCAAGCTCTTATTTGTCAAGCAAATGAGAATTTATTAGATGTTACTCCAACTCATATTATAACAGGTAATGTTACAAATAAAAATTAACAGATTTATAATATGTATATTTAATATATTAATTATATTTAGCAAAAAATTGGTAAATTAAAGATATTTAGATTATTATCTAAAATTAAAATAAAATTTATATTATTATTATATTTATTATTATATATTTAAATTATATTTAGGCAATTTAATTAAAACTTACTTTGGAGTAGAGAACTTATGTGAAGTTCATGTATTACTTAATGATACTGATAAATTATGTTACTGTATAAATAAAATTCAAAAAGAAAAGCATCTATTTGGTCAAGATTTATTAGATGTAATGTATAATTTTTCATACAATATTAATAATTTTCAAGATTATGTTCAACAAATAAGTAAGTATATTTTTAATTTATTATTTTAAATTATATATTTATATTAATTAATTTATTATAATAGATATTTTTAATGATGGTCATATAATGGTTACTTGTACAACACAAATCCAAATAGAAAAATGGATTCAATGTAATTATTTTGAAATTGATCTATCATATAAGTAAGTTGCAGAAGATATAAATGAATTTGAAATAAATTATTATGATAAAATTCTAAATACAAGTATTATTTATTTATTATTTAGTTAATTTATTTTATTAAAGTTTATATAAAATAATAAATACTAATTTTATTAAATTTTAGTTTTAATATTTGCTAGAATTTTTACTAATCAAGCTACTACTATTGCATATAAGTGAATGTTTGAAACACTTTTCAATCTTATTAAATTTTTTACTGGACAATCATCAAAATTTAAGCATATTCATGGAGATGATTGGAGTTGTATAGTTGGTGATTTAGATAAATGCAAATAATTGAATTAGGTAAAACATTAGTTTCAATTGACAGTTCATATAGTTGGGAAGAACATTTGACATATATTTATAAATCATATCAAGTTCATTTTAAAAGGTAAATTAATTAAAAATAAATCATATAAAAATATTAATAATTAATATTGTAGCATTATATATAGTTTTTTTGAAAAATATTATCTTATTATTACTAAATTATAACTATAATTTATATTTAAATAAAATTATTATCTAATTTTATAATAATA